TATATATATATATATATATACATTATTTATTCATTAAATTCTGCATTTTCCCCCTGTATTTAAATTTCTTCTTTTGTAATGTAGATTAAGAAAGTATTATATCCAAATGCGGGATGAAAATAATTCTATTAAAATCACTTTTAGTGTAACTGAATTGAGTTCATCAAAATCCACCCTCCTCTAGGGTAATATCACACAAACCTGCCATATGCTGTGATAACCCATAATGTAAATCATGATATTTAGGCATCTTATCTGTTGGATATTCATTATCATTTTGCATTTTTACTAAGATTTTTGAAAAACTAAATGTCAGTGGAAGAGAAACAGGCAATATCATTTGCACATAATATTATTCAAATAAATGCATTGTCTCTAAGGCAAATGATATCAATGTATTTTGCTTCTGTGACACTTATTGTTAATTTCTGCAATTATTTATGCTCAGATGTTGATACTTATTTCGGTATTATTAAATCTATTGCTGTTCTTTTCAGTGATGATGATTTTGGAATTTTACAATGCATAATCACACAATGTGTGCATTATTATCTGCTGCCTAAAATTAGGCTGGCATATTTAATGTCTTTCTAGCATTATAGCTCATGTAAAAAATAAAACTTAATGATGAATATGTCCCTATAAAATAGCCTACAATTCATTATACATTTTCCAACTGGCTGTTAAAAGTCACATCTCAATTGAGAAAAATATTAACATTATTCATATTGTTTAAATATGTTCATATTTTTGACCGCAAGTAATGTCCTTTAGCCAAAGATTACATTAAATCAGTTAAAGACCAACTCTTTCATTGTGAGATTACAGGCAAATTAAAGTGGTCTTTTGGTTCTCATTTAATAAAAAGAAAATAATACACTTTAGGCTGTACTAGAACACATTGCAATCGTTTCATTATTTGTTACTCATACAAGCTTTTGCGGCATATGAGAATACAATGTGTAACTAAAAAGAAATAGCAGCTTAATTAACATATGGTCGTTTAATAAATGTCTATATTTTCTGGTTTGTTAGATGTCCGTCTGTTGCAGGTGAATAGCCTCACGAAGCGTGCTGAGAGAGGATTTCTGTGTTCTCGGTTCACCAGAGGGCGCCGTCTTGATTTTGCAGACCTTGCCGTGCCCAATTTTCTCCTGATCCCCAATTTCTTAACGACTAGCTGTTCCCTGGTCTGAAGGCGTTAAATTGCACAATAACTCCTAAATGTATTACTGGTAAGTTGTTTAAATATTCTTATAAGCTTAATATGCATTCTTTAGTGTTTAATAGGTAGGTTCTGCCTGAACAGAAGTTCTGCAGAGATCAGATAATTCAGTGTTTGCCTGCAGATTTCCAGAAGGTGAACACAGCAACCCGCTCGGTTCGGTGTTATCAAATACTTTAGTGACATCTAGTGGACAAGGGTGTAACTGCAGTTCTTTGCATTATTCACACCCAAACGAAAAACTAAACTAGTTCAACATTTGAAGTGGATCAAAACCTTTCATCAAAGTTGTCCTAAAACCAAAATACGTTCTTGTCTTAGGACAACTTTGATTAACTTTTTTGATCCACTTCAAATGTTGACTAATCGGATAGGCTATGCCTGCATCAGTAGGCCTAAAGAGCAAGTGTTTAATTTGAATCCTCTTTGGGAGAAAAAAAAAACCAACGTTCTTCGGTGAAAAATTGTAAATATCGAGGGACATCTGACGTTTGTTGATCTTCTGCTCTGTTGTGGCCGTTTCATTTAATAGCTAGGCAAAAACATTGCAAACGATTTTGAGAAACAAAGCGCCAGTGGGTGAAGGCGGTGGGGGTAGTTCTGCATGGTTTGGTGTTTATTCATTGAGCTTTTGTCGCAAGGTACTAGATGAGGTTCAAAGACAAGTAGCCTATTGTAACAACATTGTTTCATTAGGAGGTGCAGTGCTTTTGATGTCCTCCACTTGTGCAGCACCTGTAGCTTTGATAGTGAAGCTCTGGACCACACTGAAGAGACCACACCGGCTTATAAGGGTGTTTTGTTATGGTTTTATAATATACGTCATTTTAGCGCAAGCTCAGATTCTACATTATTCCTCCATGCATGGAGACCTTCTTGTGTTAGTGACCCGCGGTAGAGGACACTAAGCGCGGTTTGCATTTGACGAAGAACAGCCCACAGATTTTACTGAGAAGAAACAGGCTACAAAACCGAAGAAACATGTTTATGTATCAACTGAATGGATCTTGGATTCATTTTATCAACATGTTCTTCTACTTCTTCTTTTCAAGAATTGTGAAAAAATCCTAAACAATTTCTTTGCAGTTTATGTGGAGGAGTTGATGGAGCTGGCACATATATACCCAATTATTTCAAATTAAAAAATTGATTTACAAAGCTTACCAGAATCTGCAGGCCTTGTAGAACTCAGCATGTGAAACATTATATATGTTTTTTTTAAGAATTGGGAGAGTTGATCAATCTAAACTATTATATAAATAATAAATCGTATTGAAAGTATAGCCTACTCTATTTTTTAACCTCAGCCTTCCGTCAGGGCATAGAACTGATGTTTCTTTAAAACGTATTTACATTGTTTTAAGTTAAATATATTTTAATCTCCATAAAGTACTTACAGCCTGAAGTGATTGTGACTGAATGAAATGTAAATTTTAATATACTAAAAAGGAAATCAAGTTCAATAGTATACATTTGTGTTAAAAACCATCAACTATCCATTAACAATTCATTTAAAAATTGTAAAGTTGGTATTTTAAAAACTAATGGTAGACAGTCTCAAGTGTCCAGAATTGGTTTAGAATCAGAGACTGTTAGCAGAGCAGTTTAAACATGGCATTTTCATCTAAACTTTATGGTACACTTAATGTAAACACTTAAAAGGGACAGTTAATGGTTATCTTTGGACACTTTAGGCCAAGGTTCAGGCTTTGAACAAGGTGTAATTTAAAAATCCTCCAGATCTCACATTGAAAGACAAAAGATTTGCTGATGTCTCCTTTTAGGCTTCTTTAATGTAATGGACAGCTACCATCTGAAAGAGAAGATACAGTCAGACAGAGATGAACACAGGATACACATTCTTTGGTTCTGTGACCTAGTATTGGCGTATATTACCAGTGACGCAAAATCAAAGCAGAGTTCTGGCATTGTTCTTGATGTCAGTTCTCTCTAATTCACCCTGTCCTTTCTGTTTCTTTGGCTTTTGTGCAGGGAAGTCAAACAGAGAGGCTTTGCAGTGGGAGAGAATGATCTGGAATGAAGTGCAAATCAATGATTCGTCAGGACATTCAGAAAAAGATGGAAACTCCTGTCAGAGGTGCACAACCTAAGCAGTGTACCTCTGGGAAACTTAAATGTGGCCTGACGTTGGCTTTCCTGCACTTTTTTTGTTGGTTGGTCAAGTAAGGTTCATGAGAAAAAAATGTAGATCCAAAATAAATGAGTCGCAAATGGATAGAAACCCAAAAGTGAAAATTCTGTCATTGACAAAAGAGCTATAATAGCTACTTCAGCTGAAGTCGTAAACACAAGCCACAGAACCATATGGCTTTACCTATACCACCAAATTCTGCTGGTTATTAACCCTCTGGGGTCCGAGGGTGTTTTGGGCCCTGGAGAAGTTTTGACATGTCCTGACATTTGTGCTTTTTTCAGTTGCTAATAAACATTTTAATGGCTAAGTGACCCATTTATTTGGGAAAATTAAGAAACATTTCCAGTAGGTTTAGGTATTTTTAGAAAGAAAAACATAGTTAAAAGTTGATGTCTTTTTATGAACTTTAAATAAACTGAAAGCAGTATTTTTCCACCAACAAGCTTAAAGAAACAAGCAATTCAGTGATGCCTGGGGAATCACACATCTAAACGTGCACATCTGCAGCTCACCTTATTTTGCATAATTAATTACAGGTAAAATAAATTTAAGTAAATTCAGTATGATGGGATTGTTTGGCTTTTTTGGTGGGGGGGTTCCTCACACCAGAATGTGAGGTGTTGTTGAAGATAGTATCTTTAAGATATTGCAGCCAATTTAATATCAATATATTACAAATCGATCATTATATCGGTCGCCATCAGTGAACTATTCCCACAGGTAAACTATAATATAATGATTCGTTTTTAATAATAAAACACTAGAGCACAATATACACACATTATGAAACTTGAAATAGTCAGAGTTCAACATTCTGCTGCATGTCAGAGGGAAACAAATGACGTGATCTCATATATTATGTAGTTATTTATTCATTAATTGCTGGGCAAAGTCATATAACGAAACTCTCAGCTGCTATTTACTATAGAGACGGATACTTTTATTAATAAAGAGCAAGACATTTAGTGAGAGGAGCTAGTAGTACAGTATTGCTTATATTTAGGGTGGTTATAAGGTTTATTATTATTTCTTGTCAGCCATCTTGACATAAACCTAAATGCTTTCTGCTTTTACTGGTAATTGACAAATAAAAGTAGTCTGAATAATCATTTATTAATAATTTCACAGGCAAAAGAAAGGGGGACTGGATGTGATACAAATAAAATAATGACGACTAAATAAAAACCTAAAGCTATTCAGCTGACTAACAAACAAACAAACTCTAAATAACTGCTTTCCAAACAGCCTTCTTTTTATGGATCATTTTATAATATTAAAGTGTAGTGGATCTTCAGTTTTGTTACGAATCTCGACCAATACAGTCACTGCTGAAACAAAACATGATATTAGTTGACGCTGCGAATTTGTGTGTCAAAGCTCACCAAACTGGAATCCAAACACATAAAATTAGCATAGGGAAATTCTTCAGAAGTCAAAATACTTCAAATCCTATTGAAATGACTGGATTTTACCAACAACATTTTTCCACGCAACAGTAAATGTGACCACTTTGCCGAATAGTTGAAAAGTTGCGATTCCAAATGCCTGACTTTTACTTTTTGCATGTGCCTGTAGACAATGAGCGCATTTTGGTGTTATGCTATGTGATATTGCAAGAGGGAAGGTGTTTGGTATAATTAGGGAAATATCAGCGATATCGCCTTACTCTCTTCTCTCTGCGATGATGAGCCATACTGCCGGGTCTGTTGTTGCCTAATTCCTGCTAACAGCAGCCGGTGTAATCACACACCCCAATTAGCCACCCCTGCGCCCCACTTCCCCCAACCACTTCCTCTGCACGCCTCTCCTCACCACGCTGCGTAATGAGCTTTCATCTGTCGCTGCAGTCCTTATAGGAAAAGAGCAGAAAAGAGCACCTCAGTCACAGTATAATCAGTTATTCTCGAGATCAGAGACTTATACTCGCTCAGCCTGATTTTTCACCACTTATTGTGATTATTATGTGTTGAATTATTGTGTCTCTAAATCCTAGATTCTTAAGTTTATTTTTCAAAGAAGCCTAGCTTTTACATGTACAGTAACGATGTGCTCATATTGGAGTGTAAAATGAGTTACACCCTCAAGGAGGAGAACCCCAAAGAGGGATCAATATCAGAATGCTCATCTGTATTCCAGCACCTCCTCTCTTTTCACTGTCTGTTTGTCCTCTTATCTCTGCATGTCCTCGACAAATCAATGAGCCAGCCGTTAGTACTGGTTGGTCTAAGGAGCCTGCCTGTTCAGCACAGAGAAATGTCCCATATTAGAACAATCCCAATGAATCTTCATGATTGTATGCTGTGTTTGTGGCTGATGGATTGTGGGATGGTCTAACAGGCAGTGGCTGAATTCATTCAGAAACACCTCTCTGGCCTTTATCTTTTGATGTGTGCTATGTTTTACCTTAAAAGTATGCCTAATAACAGGATCCTATTTTCAAATGAAAAACTGCAATATGTATACAGTGGGAAACTAGAACTCTGAGACCACTAGTAAAATGCTTTTATTTTACATTTTTCTTATCGAACACAATATGCTTACAAATTATACAAATATATTATCAGAAAGGATAACACTCTTGATGAAGTGTTTAACTGAAAAATTCAAATACTTACACTCTTGAAAATAAAGGTTCCAAAAGATTTTTTTAAATCTAAAGAACTCTTTTCAACTAAATAATCTTTATTTTTAAGAGTGTACTATAGTGCAAAATCTACTCAAATATACTAATATACTATTAATATTCTAATATAACATGTTACAAAACAAAAATCTATATTATTTTCATTTTATGGCTTTTATTTTTATAATAAGTTTAATTTTTTTTTTTTTCAAAATTCTTTCTCCCCCCTCAATTAGACTTTTGGACCCCACTTTATGCAGGGACAGAGATGAAATTCACTGGGCTCAGAACTAATTTTGTACCCTCTCCCCAAGTCAAAGAAGTCAACTGTACCCACTGAATGCATTTAATTATGTGTTGCCACATCTAGCATCTTTTTAAATTGTCATCGCCAATCCTGTGATGTAAAAGGGTGTTTGATGTGATGGTGACTTCACACTTTATAAAACCTATGCTACTGGCAGGTCATGACACTCCACAGAGCAAAAGTGGTCTAGTTCTTTCAAACAGTGATAAACTGAATTTGATCTGATACAAGCCTGCTGCTGTAGTATACTGCTAAGATGGAGATGGAGGTCTTCACACAAGTCTTAAGGCGCAACAAATGGTCATATTTAAATGATATGCAAATATTAGATGCTGAGGGTTGGGTTTTGTCATTTGTGTGAAGATTGAGTGAAATGATGCAGGAACCATTGTTCTTTGATTTGTACCATGAATATGTATTTTCTGAAAACATTATTAATGACTCCTTGTTTACATATTCACGCTCATATAAATGGCATTTCACTAATAATGTGTGAAAAAAGTTTGTCTGTTAAGTTTGAGACCGTGTTGTCTATCAAGGGTAATGACGTTTAACGGATATGGATGAAGAAAAACAGCATTAATCTTTGAGAACATTCGTGGCTATTTCCAAAGGCACTGTAGTGCTTCTAAAAGAATGAGTTGTTTTAACTAGACACCTTTTTTTTTTCATTTTTTTTTTTTGGAATAGCAGCTTCTTCATGAAAAGTGAGAGAATGACACCAACATTTGCTTGCCTAAAAGAATTAGAACAAAGAGCGGGCTCTAATTTGCAAATCACTGCAGCAATGATATTCTGGTGGTCACATGTTTTGAGCACTTCCTGATTGTTTTCCTTCCTCATTTTGTTTCCATCATAACTGCATGTACTGGTCTCTAAATGATTACTCCACACAGCATTAAACCACCCCAGGATCATTAGAAGTGTGAAGCCAGACTATAAAAGTACACAGTTGACCTTTAAATTCAAAAACTCCTTTGTTATAATACAGTGATTTAGGGACAAACCTCTTATATGTGAATTCTACCATTTCCACATCATTTGCATCATTAAATGGAATTCCCACTTGCTATTGATTTAGAAAAACAGATTTTCCTGCCCCAAATTCACATTTTACACATTTCGCAAAAACTCGCAAAAAAGTTTTTCTGTTCACAAGCATTTCGTAAAAGGAATATTTTGCAAAACTGCAATGGAAACAGGGATTTTTTTTGCATTTACAGGTCACCTGGCGTACGTAAAATTCACATGATCATTCTTTAATGTACTATAACCTCCATTTTTTTTTTTTTATTAATGCGTAGCCACTCTCAAATATAAGGGGCTTTCCTTGTAGGGCTGTCAAATAAAAAAAAACTTTGCATTCGAATTTTAGGTGTGTGTCAGGCAGCCCTATCAATGGCACACGAGATGCAATGACGATGTAAGTGTTGAACCTACTAGATGCGGTGCTGCTGCATTGTTTATTCAAAATATTGCACAAAAAAAACCATCAATGCGGAGAAGATCTTGTTTGCCCACAGTATCATCAAAAATCACCATTTGAAGGTGAATGTCAGCGTTAAGCCCTTGCCGAAACACAGTAAGTAAGGCCACCTCATTCAATCTACTAGACACCGCCAGAGTGCGGAATTTGACGGCATACTCGCTCACGGATGCCATGCCTTGACTGATGCGGAAGAGCTGATCATGAACGGATATTTCTGCGGGGCTAAACACCTCTTTGAAATGGGATGTAAATGTAGATAGAGTGCGAATGGCCTGGCTGTTACTTTCCCACGTGGACTGGGCCCAGTGAAGAGCGCAGCCAGCGAGATGAGAAATCATGAAGGCAACCTTGGCGCGGTCATTGGGAAAGGCTTGAGACTGCATCTCGAAGTATAGGGAGCATTGTAACAAGAAGCCAAAGTAACTGCAACTACAAAGCATTGATACATTCTTCTTCCA